TTTCTTTCCAATAAAAAATTTTCCCATATTTCTCAGCGAAGCGACTCCAAAAACAACGTGGGATGTCCAAAACAAGTAAAGCACCAACGTTGAAATTCAATATATTACCTGATCAACAAAAAACTCTTCATATATTACCTCTACTGCTAGACGTATCAAGACAGAAGCAAAACAAAAAAGTAAGAAAGAAAATTGTGGGGGTATCCTTTACCATATATGGAGTGACCAAAGTAAAAAACCTGGCGTATCAGGATAGTTCTGGGCCAAAATCCTTAACTTAAATCTGGTATCTACTACAATAGCAGCATCCTCTTCTGCTAGTCTTCTCTACTGCAGAAGCATCATTGACTAAACATCGATAATATTCCTTCTACCATAAACTCACAAACACCAAAATTTAGTTCTGTTAGTATTTTGAGATTGTGAAAGGAATAATTGATAGGATAGAGAAAATGTAAAGATAGTGAAATGTAGAGAAAATGTAAAGATAGTGGAATGTGGAGATAGTGGAATGTGGAAGTAGTAGTTGGAAGAAGTGATGTAATTATCTTTAGTTATAATAGATGTTGGCTTGCATCAAATGATAGAGTACATGGGTATTTATAGACCTATAGATTATTCTAGAACATGCTAGCCACAACTTATGTAGAATGTCCTAGATTTTTACCTATGTAGAATGTTCTTGATTTTTTTCTTCCTATCTTAGGCTTTTCTATAATATTCTAGAACTTTTATTACATTTTAGTACTTCTATCTTAGAACTTTCTATATTCTTTTAGAATTTGTATTACACTTTAATACTTCTCCTTAATGCAAATTCGGTAACAAGCTTGTCAGAGAAAGTATTTTGAAGTTGTTTTACACCTGGTCAAAATTGTTGGGTCAATAACGTTGTCATTCAAAACTGCTTCTTCTCCAAGCCAAGGCACTTTTGCATCAACGTTCTCTTTGATTGTTAAATCAATTTTGATCAACTTTCTATGCGGGATTTTTTCGCAAGTTTCGATCCTAGGGGGTTGCCTCATGCTCTATAAATAGAGCACTTCATTCACTTCAAAATATATCTTCAAAAACCACTCTTCCCTTATTCTTTCTCTATTATTCAATTCCTAAAATTATTCTGGGTTTATTTTCTATTCTTTTTAGAGATCCTTGCTAGTTCTAAACTCCTTAGAAATTTTTGAGAAGTTCTTATTGTATCTTGGGGGACTTGCACAACACATCGCGGATAAATCCTTAAGAACAATGATCTACACGCCTCGGGAAATTCTTTGTTCATAATCTTTATTCTTTTATTGTCAGTTTTTCCAACAATCTTAAGCACTTATGGCTGACATTAATAACTTATTCCCGGAGAATCAAAATACTATTTTCGAATCAAAATATATATGGACTGTTTGAGATATCCAGTGAGATACCGGATGAACAAGTTGTATCTACATAATGGATTGAATAGGGAAGAAAAGATGTGTGCATTTGTGCTTTCTTGGCTGCTACTGCCAAGAAGATTTATACATGATAGGTTAACAACGAAAGATATATTTATGCTCAATGCCATAAAGATAAGAAAACCAACCAACTGGGTTATTGTCTTGAAAGATCATATGATTGAAGTTGGAGTCAATGATGGGAAAAATCTGTCTTATGGGGGTTTTATTAGTAAAGTCTTGGCACATCAACAAGTGGATCTAACTAGGGAAGTCAAAATTGAATGAAACAGATCAAATGAAATTGGAAAAGCCATATTGACTTGTATTGGGTTGAAGAAAACTGTTGATGGTTGGTTTTTCAGAGATGTTCAAACTCCAATTATGAATGTGGCTGGACCATTGAAATCTGATGAAGATACACCTTCCTTCACTCCACAAATAGAATTTGAGAGATATGTTATAGATCGCTTTATAAAGGAATCTGAAAGAATATTAAAGGTTGAAAAATCTGTGTTCAGAATTGAGAAGAAATTGGATGAACTTATCAAAAACCATATTGACAGTGCCTCGTCAACAGAGGATTCTGATGATGAAGAAGAGTCAACTGATGAGGATTCCATGGAAATGTCTGAATCAGAATAGGAGTTTAGAGTCTTAGTGATATCTGTTTTGATGATCTGTTATCTTAGGTTTGTTTTTAATACTTCATTTTGGATGAATGTATATTTGGCTATTAACCATTTAAGTCTGAACTTTGTTTTGTAATGATATTATTAATGAATGAAATAGATCTATTTTGGATTACATCTTGTGTTAATCAATAAATTGATTGATTGAATCTAGATGATTATCATGTATCTAGTTTTAAGTAGAACCGAAGCTAATGTTCTCAACCATTTAAAAGTGTCACTACGTTTTAATATGTTTTCTTTTTCTTAAATCGGGAACATATTAGGGGAAATTAAATGAGTATTTTTGCAATGGATATAATGATCTATAAAATTTCATTGAATTCAATTAATATAAATTGTGATTGGAAACTTTTTTATATAGATATTTAATAGAAATAAACATTTTACTGTTAATAAATTAAAAAGGTTTAAATTGTTGGCAAATTCTATTTCTATATACACGAGGAAAATATTTTAGCACACGACTAACTTTCAAGTAGTTCTTGAAAACATTTATATGTTATTGAGTAAAACAAGTACCTTTAATACTAGATTACCTGAGTTGACATTACCAATTAATTTTCATTAGACCGGTAACAGGATTAGTTTTCATAAATATTCCTTAATGTGTGATAGTAAAAATCCAATGGGAACATGCTTTACAAAAGAGTATTAATAAATCTCTTAACCCAAACTCTGCTACAACTTTTTAAAATAAATTTAATGCAGTTAAGTTAAAAGAACTGCATTCATTTTTTAAAACCAAAATATATAGGTTAAACTCATTCGGAGGTCTCTATTTTCGTGGGGTTGTCTCAGTTACATTTCCGTCTTTTAAGTTTTGCCAATTAGGTTCTTAATATTGAAAAGTTGAATGAATTTGGCCCCTTCCGTTAAATCAACTTAACGGGGTTAAGTTTTTGCTTACCCATGAGGTTGACGTGGATAATTTTGGATACGTGGCATGCACAGACCCTTATACCTGGGTTTTTTTATTTCTACGTGGCATTTTCTGAAACAACGAATTTAAAAATTGGGGTTTTTATTAGGGATTATATAATTAGGGTTAATTGAATATTGAATTGGGATTATAATTGGGAAGAGAAAATCTGAAGCTGAGTGTTTCGCAAGCAGAGGTGAAGTCCTTAGGGCATTGGAGCTTCGTGATTGGAGTAAGGGTTGCTATATGGATGTGAATCGCGAAGTCCTTGAACGTGTATCGCAAGCGGTTGGTGTGGATTTTCGTGGGAGGTTAGTATGTGTACTATAGATAGGTATCAATTTAATATTCGATGCTATTTGTTGTTATCTCGCCATGCTTTTTTGAATATGAGGCTGGGGTTGATTGTAGTGTGATTGTATGCATATTGCGATTGTGGTCCCGCGTGTCCCCCATAGTTAAAGTTATTTGTCTGCTGTCATTATCAGTTGTTCAATGTTTTAATATTTGGTGTTTTTTGTCGTTTTACGTTTATTTATAGGTGTAGAATATTCTTGATTTTTTTGTTTGTGATGGAGGGTGATATAGAGGTTGTTATTCACCATGGGGGGAACTTGGTGAACGAAGGGTGCCTGAAGTATGAAGGGGAAAGTGATACTATGCATTTTGACCCTGACTTGTGGAGTTACTTTGTTGTGGTGAGTGTAGTAAAAGCGCTTGGATATGATGGATTTAAGGATTTGTGGTATTTTGTTGGATGTGGTCCTGTATTAGATGGTAAGCTACAAAGCCTTGTGTGATGACGTAAGAGCTATGCATATGGTCAATTTAGCTAGGTTAAATGGTCAGGTTCATTTATATGTTGTGCACACTGTGTCAGAACTTGATGTCATTAAGATGATTGAATATAATGGTCATGAAGAAGGTGAGGAAGTTGCACTTGAGATGCATGAGGGTGGTGAGTGTGCAATGTTGGATGAAAGGACAGAACAAGATGATGGTTTATGTCTTAGGCAATCCTTGGGAGATGGTGGTGTCACAAAATAGTTGGATGAGGGGGTAGGTGGTCATGTTGGTGAGGGTGACAGAATAGAAGTTCATGTTGGTGAGGGGGACAGAATAAAAGTTGATGTTGAGGGTAAGGGAATACAAGATGATGAGGCTCATGACAATAGGACATAACCAAATAATGTTCAGGAGACAATAGAAGTTGATGTTAAGGGTGAGGGGGACAAAATAGAAGTTGATGTCAAGGATGAGGGAATACAAGATTATGAGGCTCATGATGAGAGGATAGAACCAAATAATGTTAAGGATGAGGGAATAGAAGTTGATGAAGCACATGATGAGAGTCCAAAAGCAAATGATGTTGAGGGTGAGACAGTGGAAGTTGATGAACCACATGATGAGAGGACAAAAGTAAATGATGGTAAGGCTAACAGAACAGAAGTAGAAGAAGAGTTAGAGGACATAGAAGAACAAGTCCGTGAATGGAGTACATCAGATGATGATAATGGTGAAGTGAATAGTATGGATGGTTTATTAGACATAAACATCCAGTGTGACTTCAGAGAAAATCATAGTTCTGGTAATATGGAGGTTGATTGCAGTGTTCTTTTTGAGTCGTATTTGGAAGAACATGACATTAGTGATAGCAGTTTATTCAATGATGAATGAGAATCTGAGGAGATAACTTCTCCTGATATCAGTGATGAAGAAAGTGATGTTGAAGAGGGATAAGGAAATTTTATTACATTCACTATGCCAAAAAAGATGGTTGATTTCAAATGGGAGGTGGGAACATTTTTTGGGCACAAAAAAGACATCTTGGATGCCATCAAAACCTACGCACTAGAGAATGGAAAAAATCTAAAATTTATTAAAAATGATAAAAAAAGAATAAGGCTTAAGTGTGTGGGAGCAAAAGGAGAATGTCCATGGATGACTTATTTTGGTTACATGGAGGCAATAGATACATGGCAGTTGAGGACTGTGGTGGATCGACACACATGCAGTAGGGAGCATAAGTTGGGCCTATTCAATGCAAAATGGCTAAGTAAGAAATTGGAAAAAATAGTTAAAGAGAATCCTAATGTTAAGGGTGTTGACATTAGAGATAAAATAAGTAGGAAATGGAACATAGCAATAAGTAAAAATATGGCTTACAAGGCGAAAGCCTATGCTTCAGACGAGGTGGAAGGGTCCTTCACTATGCAATATAGTAGAATTTATGATTACGCTCATGAGCTATTAGCAAGAAACCCAGGGTCCACTATCAAGATCAAAGTGTAGGACTATGATGGAAAACAAATATTTGAAAGGTTCTACGCATGCCTCAAGGCATGCAAAGATAGCTTTGTCTCATGCAGGCCAATCATTGGCCTTGATGGAGCCTTTTTGAAAGGTAGACATCGTGGTGAGTTGTTAACTACTGTTGCTCGAGATGCAAACGATCAAATGATGCCACTAGCATATGCCATAGTAGAGGTCGAGAACAAGGAGACTTGGACATGGTTTATGGAGCTACTCATTGAAGACCTAGGTGGACCTGAGTTGTGTTCTTCACTTACATAGATATCAGATCAACATAAGGTAAATTGCATTATTGGTTTTTGTGTTTTATCTTATAAATATCATCATACTTATTGATGACTCATTAACAAGAACTCTTACCAACTGTACAAGATCTACTTCCTGGAATTGCACACAGATTTTGTGTAAGGCATTTATATGACAATTTCAGGAAGAAATTCATTGGAAAAAATCTTAAGAAGCTTATGTGGAGGGCAGCAACAACAACCCACCCACAAAAATGGGAGAATGAGATGAGAAGTATAAGAGAGGTCAACGAAGACGCGTTTCGCCACTTGATAGCTATTCCTCCAAGGTATTCCACTGTCCATCTTTAGATTTCTTTTACTGTATGTTAGGAAGCTAAAATTATGAGTTATTTTAAATACTAATTGTATGACTTATTTCTACATTCAAGGTTTTTGTCCAGATCAAGGTTCACAAGCACAACTCAATGTCATACCTTGGTAAATAACATGTTAGAAGCCTTTAATAGTGTTTTGGTTCACACGAGGACAAAACCAATTATTACGATGTTGGAGGAAATCAGACTTTACATCATGAAGAGATGAGCCACTAATAGGTCAAGGATAAAGTCATTTAAGTCATCAATTTGTCCAAAAATAATCAGTAGACTACAAAAGGAGGCCCTACTAACACAGTACTGGATTCCCAAGTATTCACAAATTTTTTTCTTTCTTTTTTTTTTTTCAATTGTTGCTCTGCATTACTAATGTTGCCTAATGTTCACAGCTGGTCTGCACAAAAGCTATTTGAAGTCAGACATGTGTCACAAACTGGGGACAATTGTGTTCATGCATTGGCATCAATGAGGTTTCTGAACCTCAATGAAGAGGACTACATACATGTATGCTTTCTCACTTCAACGTATGAAGAAATGTACTTCTCTATTATCTATCCTATTAATGGAAACAACCTGTGGGAGGTAACACAACATCCAGATGTCATCCCTCCATCAAAAAGAAAGATGCATGGTCGTCCTAAGAAGAAAAGAAGGTTAGAGCAGTGGGAGTTGAAGAAAAATAGCACCAGGATGAGCAAAGGTGGATTGGTTAAGAGATGTAGCAAGTGTAGGGAAGTGGGTCACATCAAAACACGCTATCCCAAGAGAAACGAACAAAATGTTTTGCAGTCACAGGGAGAAGAACCCACTTCATTGGCTTAGGGTGCACTACATGGAGAAGAACCATCATCAGAGTTGAAACAATGTTTTAAGTTTTATGAAAAGAAATGTAATAGATAGATCAAACTTTGATATAATCCATTACAACACTCTTTTAGAAACAATGCTTTAGCTTTCAGTATTCTATATATTGGTATTTGTATGACTACATACTTATTTGGTATTATGAATGACAAATTTCATTGCAACCTTTTACTTGTGAATGACACATTTCATTGGAACATATTAGTTGTGAATGGCAGATTTGATTGGAACATTTTAGTTCTCAATGGTAGGTTTGATTGGACCATTTTAGTTATGAATGGTACATTTGATTGGAACATTTTAGTGGTGAAAAATGTCATATGTGAAACCTACAGATTTGATTATAGGCAAGCCTACATTTTATGCAGAATTGAAACCTACATTTAATTTGTGTTCAATGTGAGACCTGAATAAAGTACATAAGCCCAGTTACATGTTACATTGGTTCATTATAGGCAAGCAGTACAAACAAGAATAATGTTCACTACAAATCTTGATTTCATTCAACATTGAACATCTTCATTTCATTAAACATTAAAAATCTCCAACTATTACTTCTGCAACTAACATAACAAAACTATTACATCTTCATTACATTACACCTATACATACACACAGATTATCATGCCCTTCCCATCAACATTGCAACTACAATCATGTTGATTACACATACAATACAAACAACCCCAACCAAAATTTTCGTCCACCTTTCAAGGCCCATCACGGCTTTCTGCAGACCAAGTATCTTGTTATCACTTTTATTTTGAAAACTCTTCAGACTTCTCATCATTTGCTTCCAACACCTCACAGCTAACACTTTCGTCAATTCCCCCCTCACTGGACCATCTGAAGTAGTTGCATCCAACATTTTCACTTCCACCCTTATACCTAGGGCAACCCAGAATTGTTTGCCTCGACTCTTACTGGTTTTCGTAGTCCTCAGCACAGACTTCTCTCCACAATGGCAAATCAGTGACGCGTCCTTCCTATTCCTGCCTCCATCTCCACTACAGCTGACAGAGCGGAATTTCTTTTGACACTCATTGCAAGTGGACGATGAACACGAATGCTGCATAGACATGGTTGCGTCTTGCTTTCCCACTTCCCTCTTTCCAACCTTCAATTGCTTTCCAATGTTCAACAACACAACGAACCCTAAATGAACCCTAAATCCCAATATTTATAAAATCAGTGATGGGAGCTTTTAAAATGGGTCAGAAACCCCAATTTTTAAATTCATTGTTTAAGAAAATGCCATGTAAAAATAAAAAACCCAGGTATAAGGGTTTGTGCACGCCACGTATTCAAAGAACTCCATGTCAACCTCACGGGTAAGCAAAAACTTAACTCCATTAAGTTGAATTAACGACACAGGCCCAATTGATTCAATTTTTCAATAGTAAGAACCTAATTGGTAAAACTTCAAAGAAGGAGATGTAACTGGGACAACTCCACGAAAATAGAAATCTTCGAATGAGTTTAACCAAATATATATGTTTGATTCATAAACAAATTCTAAATTTTTAAAACTAAAAATATATTTAATCACTTAATAAATAGTAAGAAAATTATGAAAAGACAAAAAGGCAAAAAGCCGATGCTAAGATTGGAAAAGACCCTTTAGAAATTGAAATACAAGAGTAAAGAAAAGGCTGTTACAAAGATAGAAATAAGAAAGACATAAAAAGAAAGGGATAATAAAAAAAGTAACGATAAACAGCTTATGGTTGTGTACTCTACAACATCAATTGAATGAAGAGTTGTTGGAGAACCTTAATAGTTGATTAGAAGGAACCTTTTGAATTGCCAACTCTATGACTTTTATTTTCCAACATTACCTGACACACACAAAGTGTCATAGACTAAATGGGCTCACGACAATGACCACTTCGTGAAAATTCTACATTTGCCATTCGATCTTAAATTGCACCATTTTGTTCTGGTTCTTTCTTCTTTCTTGTTACTCTCTAGCTCTTTACATGGGGGCTCGTTGCTCTAAATTCTCTTTCTGCTGGTTCCACTCCCACCTCAAGCCTTCTGTTCTTGAGTCCTCTGACCAAGGTTTATGTTGTTCTTTGTTTTTGTGTGTTTAGTTCACACGCACATCTTTTGTCTAGAAAGTCTTGCTTCTCTTAAAAGTGTCGTCTTTGCTGCAGAAAATGGTGAGAAGAATGAGAGAAAATTGTGGCCCAGTTTTGGTGAGTTCAGTTTGGAGCAACTGAAGACTGCCACAAATGGGTTCTCCTCCGAAAACATAGTGTCTGAGCATGGTGAGAAAGCTCCCAATGTTGTATACAAAGCAAAGCTTGATAATGGACAGTGGATCGCCATCAAACGTTTCAACAAGTTTGCCTGGCCTGATTCTCGCCAATTCCTAGTTTGTAACATGCACTTACACTACATTTTCTCTTTCACTGATTTTTTTCAAGGTTATAAATGCCATTGAAATTGACTCCAAATGCTAAGGACTACATACAATTGTGGAGCAAAGTTTTAATTTGCAGTCATCGTTGCAGTTTTGTCTCAATCCTTGATTTTGAAAGAAATTGTTGACAAATTTGACTGATGCTGCCACAATTAAGGCGCAGAGACTTCAAAATCCTTAACACCGCTCCCGAAATCACAATTGTGGACCATTTTTAAATTAGTGAAAATGCAGCTGGTATAATTGTGGCTGGGATGTAGTTGTTAGATCTACAAATGCAATAGCCACAATTGTGGTCTTGATGCAATTTTTGAGATCTCCAAAATCCTGATGTTGAGGCTGAAAATTGAGCAATTTAAAACTTTAAATTTCTTGTACATCTTTTCTTTCAGAGTTTGACATGATGTTTTCTGTGCTTTTAGGAGGAAGCCAAACAAGTGGGGAGCCTTAGAAGCGAACGCCTAGCAAATTTGATTGGTTATTGCTATGAAGGGGAAGAGAGGCTTCTAGTAGCAGAGTTTATGCCACATGAAACTCTGGCCAAGCATCTATTTCATTGTGAGTTGTTTGTGTTACGTTAAACATTTATGTTAATATTCATGGGTTTCAAATCTTCCCTTAAATTGTTTTCTTAGGACTTGTAATTTTGAACATGAAAATAATTATGGTTTATTTGGTGCAGGGGAGGCACAGCCAATGAAGTGGGCCATGAGGTTGAGGGTCGCTTTCTACTTAGCTCAAGCTCTAGAATATTGCACTAGTAAAGGAAGGGGCTTGTATCATGATCTCAATGCCTATAGGATCTTGTTTGATCAGGTAGAAAGGGTTTTAATAAATACTTCCGAGTTCCAATTAAACCTTGTTTCTTGCTATTTTTAACTTGGGACTGGCTTGTGCTGTATCAACAGGATGGTAATCCCAGGTTGTCCTGCTTTGGACTCATGAAGAACAGCAGAGATGGCAAGAGTTACAGTACAAACTTGGCTTTCACCCCTCCTGAGTACTTACGGACTGGTAAAGTTTTTAGGTTGTTTATGTGTGGTTGTTAGATGAGTGTATGTACTTGATCCGGGGCACAACTGAAAGAGATCTGACGCCACTGAATCAGCCATAAAGTTGTACTGTTCTGTTTGTAATACAGGATCTTATTGTATCAGAAAGGGGCCTGCATTCACTTTTACACCCTCTTCTGCAAATAAGTCAAAAACTAATTGCTTTATTTTTTTTTTCAGTTTTAGAAACACAAATTTATATGGAAATTTATCTGGAAAAAAAATCGAGCTTCTCTTCCTTTTTTCCTTTCTATTTTTCCCTAACCTAAGAAGATTCATCCTTTAAGATGAGGGACCCGTATTTGTAGTTAGTTTGCATATGCTTACATATTCTGGTATGTGACTCTTGTTCTTCTGTACATTTGGTTCATATGCAGGTAGAGTGACCCCAGAGAGCGTGGTTTACAGTTTTGGAACTCTGCTGCTAGATCTCTTGAGTGGTAAACATATTCCACCAAGCCACGTAAGCTTTTCCTACTATTGTTATGTCTTAAACACTCAATGATGTTAAAATTTAACTATATGTATTTTTTGATACTTGAATATTGAAACTGGATCTAATAATGTATATTTGTATTTTTCATTTTAACGAGTTTTCATTTGATAAGCTTCCTTAGTCACAGTGTCCAATATTTTTAAGTTTCAAAAATAGTGTGTCGACGTAAAAATGTGTTAAATATTTAATGTTCATGGGACCATGTCTTGTATAAGATGATTCATCGAGGTCGGTTAATAAACGTGCCAAACTTGATGAAGTTAAAAAATTGATATTCAAAGCATTCACTTCTCTCTACAGGCACTTGATCTTATTCGTGGCAAAAACTTTCTGATGTTGATGGATTCTGCCTTAGAGGGTCACTTTTCAAAGGATGATGGAACTGAGTTGGTTCGTTTGGCCTCTCGTTGTTTGCAATACGAAGCTCGTGAGAGGCCAAATGCAAAGTCTCTTGTTACGTCTCTTATGTCACTTCAGAAAGAAACAGAGGTATACATCATTCGTGTCGAGTTTTCATAATAGCTTGTGCATATGTTTAATAAGATTTGATTAGATCATCAGATCATGCCATTCGTTAATATGATGTGACGCTAAAGTAAAATCCGAATATTATGTGTGTATGTAACAATATTTTATAATAACAATGTATATAAACTAAACTCGTATGTGTTTATAATTAAGAATTATATTCAATTTTTAAGATGTTACATAATCAATGTGAAATGTGACAAACGTTATACCCGCATGTTAGGAAGACTATAATTTCTGATTTGGATAGTATATGAGCAGGTCCCGTCGTATGTTCTGATGGGTCTACGGCAAGAAACTGCATCCTCAACAAAGCAATTGTCGTTAACACCTTTCGGTGAAGCCTGTTTGAGACTTGATCTTACTGCAATCCATGAAATATTGGAGAAGACTGGTTACAAGGACGACGAAGGAATTGCGAATGAGGTTTTCTACCATTTTAAACTTTTAGAAAAAGGGTTTCATCTTACTTGAATAGAATTTACAAGAGAAGCTTTGTTTACAGACTTTTCCCTTTATATTTGTTGTTACTATGACTACAATGTTGATTCTCTCAATGCTGAAATTGCAGCTTTCCTTTCAATTGTGGACCAGCCAAATGCAGGAAACCTTGAATTTGAAGAAGCATGGCGATACAGCTTTTCGAGCTAAAGACTTTGTCACTGCCATTGACTGCTACACTCAAGTAAGAGGATTTTTGCTTAATACAATTTGTTAGTGACTGATCTTGAAAGCTATCTAGCTAATTCAATTTCTAGTATCTACTTAAACAAGACCAACCAAGGCATTACTTGATGATATGCATCACCAGCTTGCAATAATGGTGCTCACAAACATAACCATTGTTTATTTAATTTGTTTCAGTTCATAGAGGGAGGGACCATGGTGTCACCCACAGTGTATGCAAGGAGATGCTTATCATATTTGATGAATGACATGGCACAAGAAGCTCTTGGGGATGCCATGCAAGCCCAAGTTGTATCACCAGAATGGCCTACTGCTTTGTATCTTCAAGCAGCTTGTCTTTTTAGCCTTGGAATGGAGAAAGATGCTCAAGAGACTCTCAAAGATGGGACTAACATGGAAGCCAGAAAAAACAAAAACTGAAAAATTGTATAGATTTTCCTATTTTCCCTTTTTCCTTTTCTTGTCTTGAGAATTATTTAATGCCCTTCTAAAGTAGTTTATAATTTGTTAGGCTTTGCTTCCCATATCCTCTACCATCATTCATTTCTTTTTTATTTTTTTGGCTTTTGGCTTTCCGTGATGCCCGGGAGTGAAAATACAGTGCCTGATTTGAAATTTAATACGCGTGCACCCTCTTTTTCCTTCTTTTGTTTCACCTGCATGTCCTTTGTTGTCTCCACTCAATAACAATGATGTCAAAGTTATATATCTATGCACTACAATTTATGATGGACCAAAAGGAACGTTCAATAATTATGATGTCACATGGAAATATGTTATTAAATACAATTATTACTTTAAAAATATATTTAAGATTTTTTTTTATTAACTCGCTGAATTTTATTTTGTGATTACATGCCTGCATATCCATGACTTTTTAGAGGCAAAACAAAAAAAATAAATAAAAATCAAAACACTAAATACTTAAATACAAATTTGAACTTCGCTGTTTAGACAAAATTAAATGCCTTACAGCAACAGTTAAATGCGATGTCTCAATCTCTGAATTCTTCTTGACTTTTCATAAAAGCCGTGGCTGATCTTGATTATTTGGAAGCCTATAGTATTCTTAAAAATTGTATATTTTTTCAATGATACAATAAAAATAATGCATAATTTAATTTAATATTATTATGATTATAAAATAAATTGTGTATATTTAATAAATAATTTTTATTTTTTTAACTATTAAACCCATCAATAATTAAATCAAAACTAAAATTTTCAGTTATACTTTTTCTGATGTAAATAATTATATTATATACAAAAGATTTGTCTTCCATTTTATTTCATAATCTTATTTTGAAATAATCATTACAAAAAGAATCTTTTTATTCAAATAAAAGGTATTTCTTATTTTTGTCATAGTTAATAAAATTCAGAGTTAAATATTTAAGAGCATTAACTATAAAATACTAAATTTTAAGTTTTATATTAATTTTTTATTGAATATGATTTGGCAACTTAGTTATAAAATTATTAGTTAATAGTAAATAAGCATGTAAAAGAATAATGATAAATATTATTACCTTTCTTCATATTTTAAATTCTATAATTGTTTAAGTTTTTTCTATAACAATTTTTTTAAAGACTCTTACTTTAAAATAATAATATTATATTATATTTTAATAAGCAATTTGTGAAAAAAACATTTGGGGATGGGGTTCAAGGCCCTCTTAGTGGTCAACCAAACTCCGCGACTGCATAGGAAAGGTTCTTTTTTTATGTGCCTATATACTACAATATTTAAGACTTTTTAGAATATTTTTTAATTATGTATTCAAAATGTTACTATAAATAAATCTCGTACAATATATGACTCAATAATCTTTGATTTATTAGGGTTAAATATGACTCTAGAAACAAAATATGGATGTTCAAAATTAAAATTACTTACATATGAGATGATTGAACCAATCAAACTGAAACAAAACTGAAAGAAATCAAAAACCCACATGGTTTATGATGTAGAACTCGTGAAGACACACATAAATGGTTTGAGCAACGTATGTGTGAATTTAATTGTGATAGTTTATTTTATATGTATGCTTATATCAAAGTTAGCTTATTTTTTCGCTTTGTGTGGTTGTATTGTTTCTACTTGCTATGATAATGTAGTCGCATGTGAGAAGATGGTGCATCATGTGCAATTAATGCTTTCAAATAGTAAAGGCATGAGAAACCCTTATAGTGTAGGAGATTTTGTATATATTTATATTCTTCAGGACAGATGATGTTAGAATTGCACAACAAAATCTATTTAAACAAAAACCATAAGGATGAATTGGTTTAGTTAATAAAATCGTGTTTTTTTACAAAATTTCTATTTTTATAATCTAACTTTACAATAAAAAATGATCTCATTAAGAAAATAACAGATAAATAAAAAGTGTAAACAAAAAGTGTAAAAAAGAATAAAGTTTGAGTTAAATAGCATTTCTCTTGAGGAGACAAGAGATGAACAACGCCTCCTTTGACACATAACGGATGAACAAATTTCCTAACAACAACAACAACACTCAATCACTTAAGACACACCCAGTGAAAGTTCTCACTCTATCCACACTAAGTTTTTCAAAGTCAATTTTCACAAACACAAAGAGTTTCTCTAAAGTTGTATGATCCAAGAAAATTAAATATTTAGATCGGTGGTAGACGTTGGCATTAATAATTAAAAATAAGAAATGATAAGTTGTATAGAAGTGAAGTGTAACAGAGATGGTTAAAACTCTTTGTTATGGATTGGTGGTCATGGGTTCAATTTTTCTTATGGCATAAAATGTGTTTACTTATTTTAATTATTGACATGCTATGTATGTGTATAATTATATGTTTTATTAAGCATGGTTATAACAAAGATAAAGTGATACTTGGATTTCTCTTCGTTCACATCTCTTTTCCTTTACCAATTTTCACTCTTTCTCTCAACTCTCAAAAACATTCTTTCTTCTTTATACTCTAAAAAAAATATCTTATTGATGAACTATCTCTTAGATAAACATTATGTAAACCTGAGTTATTTAAGGGATTTGAAAGACTTTTTTTTTTATATTTTTAAGACTCAAAATGAGTTACAAATTATGTTAATTTCTTATGAACAAACATGTCCATATATTAAAACATGATCGTTTTTTAATTGCGACAAGTTGTCTCTGTTTTTTTTTTATTCATTTCCATTTTTTTATGTGCTAAAAGGATTACTTGCAATCATTTTAAGATATTGTCCCTTGTAAGTTGATTCTTTATGAAAAAAAAATGGATGAGGGAAAGTGATGAAGAAGGAATTTATTTTAGCAATTTCATGCTATACAAATCAAATAAATGCTTCAAAATAATGATAAAGGTTTTATTCATTTATTCTATTAACTCATTTGACCAAATAGTGTTTATTTTTCTTTATTTATTTATTTACTTATTTTCCTTTTTTTCATTAAAATAATTCCATGAACAAATATGAATTCATTAAAGCATGACAATTTTTTTTAAAAAAATATTATGACCCATTTATTGCTATGTACAAAGAAAAGGCAAAGAGAAAATGATAAAAATGTTGCTAATGCATATGATGTATAACGAAAGATGATAAAAGGTGCAAGTGTTTGGTAATAATGAATAGTCGATATTACAGTAAAAGATGATCCAATATTTATATACAATAGCCCCTTCTATTCTAGAATTCTAATAGCAGAACGAACAAAATAGCAAATGAAAGAACGAACAAAATAGCAAATGGAAGAACGAACAAAATAACAAATGGCAGAACGGACAAAATAACAGAAAGAAAAATATGCAGTAGTGCAAGATTGCAAGTTTGTTACAAAAAGAATATTGTACAAGTTTGTTATGATGCATGTACCAAATAACGTTGATGAGAGTTAAACAACCACATGTTTTCCCCCCTTTGTGTTTTAAGGTAGGTTTAGTGTTTTATGCTCTAGGCATTGTATGCAATCTCATAGGGATGGTTTCCTAAACCTAAAATCAAGACCACCATAGTTATGTCTTTTTTACAACACTTTTCATACCAGTTGAGGTGTAACTAGATGTGAAATTACATATGAAAAGAGAATCTGGTTGAAGTTCTCACGATAGCCAAACAAGGTGTATTAAAGTTCTAAATCAACTAGATATAAGACATTTAAAGTATATATGAACATAGATCTCATTTTAATTTAAAAAAAAATATCTTCAGCTATTTTTGGATGCACCACTTGTCACACCCATTAGATCTCTAAAATGATGACATTCTATATGTTCGTTATTATGTGGTTATTGAATATTCAAAATTGAAGACATTTCCATTTGTGACTACAGCTCAGTGAAGGTATAGCCTGGTCATGCAAGTGGGATGTAGCCATTCTGTTCACTTAAAAGCAAATCAAAGTTTCTTCTTCTAGCTAAAGGATGGATAATATATTTATATACTTTGAATAGAAAAAACCCAACGACTTTCTATGGATGGTGCTTGCGCAATTTAAGCTGGAAAGGTTAGTCAATGTGGAAAAGGGTGCATACATACTCACTCATCATAGGAGACAAACCATAAAACACATACCACGGAGAGGCAAGGCAATGCAGAGCACAATGATTGGGTTGACAGGTGAGTGATGCAAGACCATCATGATTGAGGCATGTCTGTGAAATCCATTTAACCACCATTTTCTTTGCCTTTACGTGCATGCTTCTGCTTTCCCTTACAGAGGGTCCTCTTGTCCCCACATACAGAGGATCAATCATCACACCACTTCTCTACACACTCTTTGTTCAGACTTTTTTTCAAATGAGTTTTTTCTACTTCGATGGACCAGTATATCAATAAGCATATTCTGATATTCAGTTCATTTGACAAGAATTTACACTCAATACCAACACGGAATACTGTGCTATAACAATCATCCCTCAGCACGTGGGACTATAGCGTATATTGTTTAAACCTTCTTAATATCGTATTCTGCTTTTGTTTCTAATCAATTACAAGTTTGGTTCATTGCTCTAGTTGCTAGCGATGGTGTCGCGTCATGCGCTCTCAAGTCTGTCTATCGTGTTGTGATTCTTATAATGATGACCCTTTTCTCATCAATGGAAATGCTTTTAGAAGGAGAGAAAAACTTTATGAATTTATCACTCCCTTAACAGAAGTGAATGTAAAAGTGTAACTATCAAAGTTACCAAAAATTATCGGTAAATTATGTAAAAAGTGACTGGAAACAAAATTGATTTTTGTTGGTGGTATTTAAAAATGTGTAATACAAAAATCGAAAAATAATTCCTAGAATTGAGCAAACCACACTTATAAAAATTAACAAATAAGTCAAACAAATATTTTAACAAATAACGGCCTCGGGTCAATATCCATGTTGTCACATTCCCTCCATGTATATTGTTTACTAGGCTTCAAATTTATCTTGGGATTTTTGTTCTTTTAACACTTGAATGATCATTCAATAGTTGGAGGCATATATTCCCCTATTGATATAGGGTTATCATTCATTTCATACATATAAAAACTTTGCTTTATTCACAACTTTTTAGTCACATTTTTTTTCTTATTTTATGAAAATTAGCAATTGTGTATACTGAAATTGACTATTATATATATATATATATATATATATAAATATATATATATATATATATATATTGTTATTTTTGTTA